GCCCGGCATAGCGCTTGAAGCCAGCACGGGAATGAAAGAAATTGGTCTTCCCCTCTCCTTCTCCCTCCCCAGATCCTCCTCCATCAACCTCTCCAGCTCCCTCCACGCCCTCTCCTTATCCCTCAACAACTGCAACTCCTCCATCATCTTGTTATTAGCCCTAAACCCCGCCTCCTCCATCTTCTTCATCGCCCACGCCACCGCCCCGGGCCGCTGCTGCCGCGACCAGTTCCTGACCAAAATAGCCCAGGTGTGATAATTGGGCTGGAGGTTGTGATCGGCAAGGTACTTTATCCAGTCTTCTGCCTGCTTGATGCAGTCTTTGACGTTGGTGATGGAGCGGGAGGCGCGGATGACGCCCGACAAGAGAATATTAAAGGTGTAGATTGTCGGGGCGGGCGACATGGAGTAGAGGTACGTTTCCTCTTTGTGGAAGGCCGCCCATTGGGCCTGCTGGGCTTTGAAAGAGGGCCAGCCTGCGCCTGGGCGGGGGGCCGGGTGGAGGGGGGTGACGAGGTCTGGGTCGAGGAGAGGGAGGAGTTGCTGGGGTGAGGGGGCTGATTGTCGGGGTTGTTCTGGGGGTGATGGTTTCGAGGGTTCGGATAAGGGTGGTGGTTCGGTGGGTTCTTGAGGCTGGTCGGTGGTGAGAAGCGGTTCTTCTTGGGCTTCGTCCTCAGTTGGCTGTAGCTCTTCCTGAGTTGCAGGACGTTCGGCTTCTGGAGGTGGTAGGTAGTCTTCTCCGGCTGGGAGGTCTTCCTCAGCCTGAAGGTATTCTTTGTACCCTCGAAGGCTTTCTTCGACCGATAGGTCTTCCTCGGCAGGTAAGTACTGCTCTTCGACAGGTAGGTCATCTTTGACAGGCAAGCCATCTTGGGCTGGCAGGTTTTCTTCCGTTGGCAGGTTTACTTCCGTCGACAGGTTTTCTTCTGAGGGCGAAAGGTAATCTTTCGTTGGCAGGTTTTCTTCTGAGGGCGCTAGGTAATCTTCTTCAGCTGGCCGGTGCTCTTCTTCTGGTGGTGGATGTTCTTCGACTAAAATATGTTCTTCGGTCATTATATCTTGAGCTGCTGAATCTTCAGTTGGTAGACCATCGCCCCCCTCGATCAGCAAAGGCTCTTGTTCCGACAAGACAGCATCCTCCTGACTTGGCAGGACACTCTCGATAGTCCGCACCGCCTCCTCATCAGCAGGCGAGTCATCATCCGCCATCCTCTTCGCCAACAGCTCTTCCTCCTCTTCCTCCTTCAACACCCTCTCCGCACACATGGCACCCTCAATCATATCCTCCAAAATACCAAAACCCGCCTGCAACGCATCACGGCTCTCCGCCGCTCTCTTGGAGTTCTCCGCAGGAGCCCACGCGACATTGTTCCACTTTGGAATCTTGAGCAACGAGCCCAAAATAGCATCATGCACTCGGCTGTCCTGCTCCCGACAAATCTGACACACGGTGTATTGTCCCTGCATAAGCTTCGCCCTGAGCCGCTTGTAAAAGCTGATAACCTCTCCCGCCTTCCAAACCGCTCGTGTGTACCCCCTGAGCATAATGCTAATGACATCCGACCCCGGAACCGCCGGTTTCTCAACCCGCTCAGGAAGGCGCTCGAGGATGAGATCAATCTTTCGCAAAAAGACAACATCCATATCTGAGGTCGCAGTTGCAAAAACCTGCTCTTTTGTCTCATACGGCGGCCCCAGCCTGACAGGGATAAGAGACTGGAGTTCCTTGTACCGATAGAACCTTGCATAGACCAGCAGCAGGGCCCGGAACGTCAACGCAGCATGCGCATTCCGTTGGCCTTCCTCCTTCAGCTGGAGGTCGTGCTGCCGAGATATCACCAAGACAGAGTCGATGATGTCGTTCCAGATGTGCCTGCTCTTCAGCGCCTCGGGAACAAGCTCTTCCAGGGTCTGGAGCACAGGCTCGATGGTGTTGGTGCGCTTTGCCACGTTTAGCAGGTTGGAGAAGATGAACTGCTCAGGCTCGATGCCCTGATCAATCATGATCTGGTAGATGGTCCACGCTCCCTGGTAGTCACCGGTGGCTCGCATGCCTCGGACCATGACACTGTATGTATACTTGTTAGGCGTGATCAGGTTGAGCAACCGTGTGGTCAGCTCCCGGCGCAGCCGCCCCAACTGCTCTAAATGGCCGTCTTCCACACCTTGAAAGTCTAGGATGCATGTGCTGAGCATCATGGTCAGGGGCGCGTCGCCGTGGAGCTCGCCGCTGGTGATGGCTTCCTCCAGCAGATCCAACGCCCTGGACTTGTACCTCGGATCCCGAGAAAGACGACGGGCTATAGTGTACCAAGTGTAGGGGTGAAGCGGGTGAGCGTACTGCAGCAGGTCCCGATACAGATTCCACAGAGCTTCGGCCTCCATATCTCTCGTCAGAAGAAACAGCGTTTGTTGGGTGAACTCGAGCATGTATAGAGTGCGAGTCCGCAGAATATGACGGATCGTTTCGGCGAGCTCATGCGTAGTCTTTTTGCTTGAGCGAGACAACGAGCACCATTTGGCAAGGAACTCAACCGTATCATTCACCGCCCACCTCGGCGTCAGAAACCCCTCAAAAGTCGCCCGGAGAAATTTGGGAGCTAGCTCTGGGTCGTAGCGGAGCAGGTAGAGCATCGAGTCCATCCATTTCGCCATGTACTCATCTACGTTGCCAAATCCGCAGTGGCGCTCCTTAAACTCCCCCTGCTCGATTTCGGCTGCCTCGAAAAGCATCTCTGTTTTTCCCCAGTCAGGGAAATCCTCCACATCGGCCAACATGCGTGAATAGGCGCGCCCTGACTTCAGGGCTCTGTACAGCGGCCGGAACCTGGCCTCCCATGAGTCCAACCAGTTGCCTCTGTGACCTGGACCCCAAGCGAGCTTTCCTCCCCTCTCGGCGAAACGGTAGGGTTCAAGTTGGGGTACTTGATTGTCCCGATCCGCAGCATTGAACGTGTGGCTAGCCACCCCAGGCTCAGCTGTGCTCGCATAGTTCCTTTCTATTTCCTCCGGCCCCAGTGAAGAGGGAACTGGTGTTGTTTCTGGCGATGTCTCGCTGACATTGTTCGCAGGATCTGGATTCGCCTTGGCTGTTTCCTCCATGTCATCGGGGCTCATATGACTGTCGACCTTTCCCAAAGACTTCTCCCATGGCGGAATGATATCTGAGTCGTCGCTCTGGAAGGACAATCTGGTGGTAGTGGTGAAGGGCGCATCTCGGGCGAGCTGGGCCAGCAGTTGCTCTGACCTCTGCACTCTCGATGTTTGGGATATTGGTGGTGGCGGCAGTAAGGGGTGTATAAGGGGTATTTGGGACCGACGTTGACAGGCTCGAGCCAGACATGATCGGCCGACCAAGCCGGCCCGCAGTATCATCCCCGGATGCGACTAGACGATTGTGGTGCCTCTGCGACGGCGCGGGATGCAGTCGCGCGCCATGAGAATCGGGCGGGAGGACGTGGGGTGAGGTCGTCATGCGTCGAATTCGTCGTCGAAGTTGGGCATGTTGTGGTTGGACTGGCAATCCCGAGCGATTTGTTCAGGGGGGTTCGCCGGTCGCTGGTCGCCGGTGCCGTCTCCGAAATGTCTCTCTTATCACGATGAGAAAGTCATCCAGCTCCCAAAAAAAAAATCGGCATTGCGAGGGGCTGCAGAGCTTCCGGCCGGCAACGAGCGGCAGCCCACCTCTCGGCACGCAAACCCCCCAACCCTGTCGAAAGCTTCCCTGTCCGCTGTCAGGGACCCACATCCAACATCATCCTCCACTGGAAATTGTTCACAGGCGGCGCGACTGTGTACCTCGAACCAATTCGCGGTCAAACAACATCAGGAACATCAATTCCCTCCGAAAAACCACCACCACACCACAACAAAAATGTCCTCCCACACCACCCTCGCAGCAGCAACCGACGACCGCAAAGCCCGCCTCGCAAAACTCAAATCCCTAAAACGCAAACAACCCTCACCCTCCCCATCAGACGAAGCCCCTTCCCCTTCCCGCTCCCAATCCCCCCCAACAAAACAAGTTTCCCACCTCCACCTCTCCGGCCGCAACTACGACCCCGAAACCAAAGGCCCCAAACTCGGCTTCGAAGCCCCCCCCACTCTCTCCCTCGAGGCACCCACCCTCGAAGAACAAGCAGCAGACCTCCAAGACGAAGTCAACCGCCAAGCCGCCATCGACGCAGCCCAGGCGGCAGAAAAGGGCATCGACCTCTTCAAGCTCCAACCCAAAAAACCAAACTGGGATCTGAAGAGAGAGTTGAACGCCAAGATGGAGGTGCTGAATGTGAGGACGGATAATGCCATTGCGGGGATGGTCAGAGAACGATTAGCCGAGAAGAAGAAGGTTGCCGAGCAGAGTCACAGGGGAAGCAAGGAAAGTGAGGATAAGGAGGCGGATGGGATGCTGGACGGGGCGGCAATTGTGGAGGGGATTAAACTACGTGAACGGGAGGAAGAGGAAGAGGCCAGGAGAGAAAAGGAGGCCGAGGATGAGGAGTTGGGGTTGGCCCGAAGGCTTGATGAGCAAGACGAAATTGTTGCTTGATGGTTTTGCAGAGAAAAAAAGTAGGCATATGATACCCAGATTTGATTCGCTCTAATTATTGCAATCTATCTACCCATATTCATCGACTGTGTCAGCGCCAACCTCTTGCTGAAGGGACTCAGACTCCTTTCGCGCGGCGGCGGAGGTGCCCGCTGCTGGGCTGGCGGCGCATTTCTTTCTCTGGGGTGGTCATCGTCCCTGTCCCTGAACCGGTTCCGAGGACCATCACCGCGGCCTCTCCCATCGCGCCTTGGTGGAGAACGCGCAGGAGATCTCGACCTGGATCTCGAGTAGCCCCGACGTCTGTGCGAGTCATGTTCGGCGTCTCTGCCGGGCGGCGCATGCCGAGGGGCACGCTCAGGCTCAGGCTCATCGTCAAAGTCGCGATGGCGCCTGGGTGAACGGGCCTGGCTCGGCGAAGGGGAACGTCGCCGAGGCGGGTAATCTCTCTCCGGAATGGCTGACGGTTCCCTAGAATAGCGCTCCTCCGGGCTTAGAGATCGTGGACGAACCGGATGTCCACGGGGAGACAACTCCATATCGCGGCTGATCCGTTCTCTTCTTGGGGGACTGGGACTGCGCCTTGAGGCTGGAGAAGGGGACCTGGTCGAGATGCTGGATACGGAGTCGTAAGATGGCGACCTGTGCCGCCGTGGGGGCGGTGAACCCTTTACGGACAGTTCTTCTTCCTCGTCCCTTTCCAGCTCTCGCTTCCTGGCACGCTCGGCCTCCTTTTCAGCGAGGATCTTATCGGCTACGCCCTTCCTGTGGGACAGTTAGGCATTTGAGGTCAGTGGACTCAGGTAGTGGGAGCTTACTTCTTCTCAATGTCATCCGGGACAGCATTGGTAAGCTTGGGTTGGAGCTTGGGGTTGAACAGCTGCTGAGTTCGTGAGGGTCGGGGAATATACGGCCGCTCCTGGGCTGAAGCTTTGCATTCGTAGGAATAGTGCCGTGCTGTGAGTGTTAGATGGGGGAAATGGAAATAGTTTCGGTGAAATGAAAAGTACGTATCTCGTTTAAGACATTTTTGGCACTGGACGTTTGTCGATGTCGCTTTGGAAGGACCGCTTCTGCGCCACATGGTGCTCTTGAATCGTGAGAAAGATGCGGTCTGGTGTTGTGGTCGATGAAACGGTTGATGCCAAGTTTGGGATATCAGTGGATGATTGAGTTGCAAGCTGAGCGGCCGAATTGTTAAGATGAAGTGAAAATTTGGCGATGATGCGGCGGTTGATAGGTATGAAGGCTGCACCTGAATGTCAAGCCGCTCTTTGTGATGATCAAATTCGAGAAGTCGGTTGCCAGTAGAATCTGTGAGACGGTTATGCCTTTGAATTCTTTTCCTGCTTGTGGCTGCGATGGTGTAGAAACGCGCTGTCGCGAAGTTGAAGTTGAGTTGGTTGCCAAGCACTGTGAAGCCAGTGCAACATGCTTGCGGGTGTTGCTCGGGTTGGGGTTAGGGTTAGATACACATATCAGGGGAACTATCAGGGAGCTAAAGCATGTCACAAGGAATGTTTAAAGCAGCAACATCGTGAGAACAACAGCACTACTATTCCAGCTGCCGATACCACTGCTCATAAACATCGTGACGTGGGCATCTGCAAACTGCACACATGGGGGCCGTGGTGCTGGAATCGAGGCTCAAGGTTGACGGGAATGAGGATGTGTGGATGATTGGTCAACTTAGATGGGGTCTGGCGGCCTGAGCGCTGACAGCAAAAAGTCCCCCAAATGATGCCTCCCCTCCGACCCAATGTCATCAACGCCTGCTTTGGATCCGGTTTGTGCTCGGGCACTTGCATTGCTGATAATTCAGCATGGCCAGCGCAGCTGCGCAAAGGAAAGTCAGCTGCATAACCCTGGGTCGTTGAGAAGTCCGGGTTTGTTTGTTTGGTAGCTCCGCCTATAAAATAAAACCGGGGCCGGCCCGCTTGCCTGACAAACCGCTGCCACTGGCTCCAGCGGGCAAAGAGAGAGAAGGTGCCTACCTGCAACCCTGGAAGCCTCCTCACCGGATTTCCTCGTGCAACCACAACGACTTGTCGGACGCTGGAAATCCTCCCACCACCGCCCCTCACCCGGCCGAGCCATCTGCCCTTCTTCAAACTGCCCAATTGTGGCTTCCCTGTGTCGAGAACCCCAGACACACAGTACAGACGTCTGGAGCGCCGACGGTCGGACAACGACGGGCACCTGTGCAGTCCTGCGATAAGGTAGCCACCTGGAGTGCACAAAAGCTCAACCATCACATCCCGCCCCTGGATCGATCGAATCGTCGTCGCCCTCATCCAGCAGACAGACAGACCCCTTCCTGCGATCACGGCCACAAAGACCAACGATGATTAATACCGACGCACTTCCTTCGCTCTTGACAGCTCTGCTCCGTTTCATTTCTTGATTTCGTCTTTCTGCCGGACCGCCACTCTTCTGCTTTCTGCCCTATTACGAAGTCAACCGGCCTCCCCCGCCTGACACTTCTTGGACCGAAACCACCTGCATTTTCGTTTGTCTTCGAAAACTTCGATACATAGGCAGACACGAATTTTCTATTTGCGCTCGTTAGAACAAAGGTCGCACGATGACGGCCATTCCCTCTGCTGTGGTGACCGATAACCAGCGACTGTCGTTTGCAAGAGTATGCCCTGAACCTTTGTCCGCCTCTTGTTGAAGCCGCAGAACATGCTTGCTGATAAGTGATTGCTTTCAGGTTGCCGCTGCATCAGCGTCCAAGGACATTTCCACCACTACTACCATTGTGAAATCTCCAGGTCCATCGCCGCCCAAGGAGAAAAGGGAGACCACCAAGAGCGTCGATGTTCCGGTTCCGCCAGTAGTCACGGCCAACCCCGCGCTCGAAATGTCGACCCCGGAATCGAACATTTCACCAGCTGCGCAGAAGATGGCCAGCACGGCTCAGTCCATGGATGCCAAGGTTGTTGAGGGGTTGAAGGATTTGAAGCTCGAGGCGTCACCGTCTAATGTCATTGTGGCCAACGGGTCTCTGTCCGGCGCCGTGGAAAGGTCGAGCAGAGCCAGTAACGGCCAAACACCAGCCGACGACGTTTCGCAACGAGCAGACTCGAATTCCGAGCTTGGAACGAAGCCGCCCAGTCTTGACGGCAAAAGTATCACGTCCGGGACCACATTCGCTCTAGACGAGAAGGAATCGCTGCGTCCTGATGACAGTGCCAGCGTGAAGGCTGCGGCCGAGGACGACGATGCGTTTTCCATCCGCGGCTCCTACATGGCCAGCTCGCGCATGGGCTCAGACGTGGCCGCTCGCATTCACCGCATCCAGATTGGCGACATGCCATCACGAGCAGCGACTGCCCACCATGGCCTGGTTGGTAACAAAAACCAGGGAATCGTCACCCCCCAAAGTGGTGTCTCTGACAAGCAGCTTACCTCAGATGCGAAGCTGCCTCTTGTCAGCGGAGCAGTCGCGCCTGATGGGATGGCAAACGGCTTCCTGAGCCAACACCCAGACGAGAAGCTGTTGGAAGCTATGCAGTCCCACAAGGACCGCATCTTTCTTTTGCGATTGGAACAGCAGGTGATCGAATTCGTACAGGATTCAAAGTACGCAGTTTCCCCCTTGCCGACTGTTCCCGACATTGCTGACGTTGTACCCGACAGAGAGCCTTTCATGGACCTGCCTCCAAGCAACTCATTCTGCAGAATGCTGATGCATAAACTGGCAGACTACTACCATATGACACACTCCTTCGAGTCCCAAGCTGGGGCGGTGCGTATCTTTAGGACGCCCTTCTGCCGGATCCCTCCCTCTCTGTCTAGTATTGCAGCAAACACTCCTAATAGCAGTTCTCCGGCACCCGCCGTGATGCCGCGAAAGATCATGCGTCGGGGTGAGGATGGAGAGTTTGGCCCCGCAAGTGCGGCTCCCTCTAAGCCAACCTCGGAAGCTGGCAGCGATGGCAAGGACAAGTCTGTCCCTCGGGAGAAGTAAGTGTACATGTTTGTGATTTGAAGAGAGCTATGTTGTCTGACCCCCAGCCCTGCAGGATGACGCGAGAGGAGCGAGAAGAGGCGTACAACAAAGCCCGTCAACGCATTTTTGGAAGTAGTGAAAATAAGGAGAATCAGAACCAAGGTGCGTTTGCTTGCCGCGCGCCGTATGACCGTCTGCTGACAACAGTGCAGATGGCGAGGACAGTAATGGTGTCTCTCGTGCCAGCTCTGTTTCCGCCAAGGATAGAGTCAACGGTGGAAAAAGAAAGGTCAACAAGCAACGACGAGATGACAACGAGGGCTTTGAGTCTCGCTCGCAGTTCGTTGCTTGGTGCGGGCCCCAACAACCTACCTGGGCGGCTGCAGGGCCTCAGTATTATCAGGTCGCTGCACCTCAGTTCAACGGGCAATACCAGCAGCAACAGCCGCCACAACCGGTGTATCAGACTACCATGCAGCCCATGTATGGACCTGGCCAACCGCATCCTCCCCAGATGATGCCTGGCAATGGATATCCTCCTCATTACAATGCCGTGCCTCAGACCGTACGTTCCGTGTATGCTCTCTTCAACCAACACCTCCCTTGCTAACTGCGGCCTAGTATCAGACTCCGGCTGGACCACAACCAAGAGCTCCACTGCCACCTCAGCCGGCCTACCAGGCCCCTAATGCCCCCCCAGTGGCCGGGCCGATGTACAACGCTCCTGTCCCGGCCATTCAGCAGCCAGCATGGCCGCAACAACCACAACCCCAGGCGCAGCCCCAACCTCAACCTCAACAGCCCCCAGCCTTCACTCAGGGTGTTTATCCGCCTCCGCGGGGGAGCCCTGTTCCTGGCCATGCTGGGATTCCTTATGCCTTTGGACAGCTTCCTGTCAATGTCAACCCCAACGATCCCAAGAGCCAGCATCCAATTCCAGGGAGCTACAGCCGTCAGTCCTTCAACCCAAAGACGCAGTCTTTTGTGCCCGGCGGCGGAATCCCCATGCAGCAGTCTACGCCGCCGCCGGCTGGATCATATGGAGGAACAAGCTCTCACCACGGCAGTCCGCATCCTCAGTTCAACTCACCTCACTTGAGTTACGCCGGGTACCAGCAGCCGATTCCGCAGCCAATGCCGCAGCCCGGTTATGGGCCGGTGCCCGGTGCCTACAGTATGACGAGACAGAGCTCCAACGCCTCCATGACGCAGTACCACAATGTGCATCAACCTCTGCACGGCATGCCCCCGCATGCGCCGCAGCATATGGGCGGTCCACCACACATGGCACCCAAGTCCAACGGGCCGCCAGGACAGCAGACATATAGCCACCTACCGAATTACGGCAACCCAGCCACATTGCCGCAGAAGCCCTCGACTTGATGATGAGAATCCCTAATCAACAAAGTGTGTGTCGTTCGAGTAAGAGGGTTCGAAATGGATAACGTAAAGTTCATGAAGGCGTAAAAGTCTGGGTTTTTGTTGGCTTGGGTGGGTGGCGGGACGTGAACTGCATCGAGGCGTTTTAGGCGTACAGGGAGGGGGTGTGCTTTCTCTTTTCCTATCAAGGGTGGTGTTTAACAACCTTGAATGAAGAAAAAATTGAACGGGTGTATTTTTCAAATGGTTAGCGGGCATCTTCCTCTCATCATCCCCACTCTAGCTCTTTCTTTCTCTTGTTGGGGTTGCAGAGGGGAGGAGGGAAGATGGAATCGGGGGAGGGGGGAGGCGAGCGGAATTGTTACAGCAGGAGTAGAGGCCTCTCTCAACATAGAATTAATGCGATATAATGTTGTATTTGCTTCGTGTTGGGGGCGTGGCGAGGGCTTTTATAGATGTGAGATAGACAATACAGGGTGTGTTAACTGCTGATTAGTTGTGCATACGTGATGTGTCAAGTGTGGTTCTTGGGAAAGATGAACTGTAGATACTATCGACCTGATGTTTATGTGGTAGTAGGGGGTTTGTTGTTGGTTAAGGATGTGCGCAGTCTCTTGAACACAAATCCGTGTCTGACATTATGTTACCCAACTTTCCCGCACACAACAACCTACCCGTCACTTTCCTACCCGTCACTTTTGCCATGACTTGCCGATCATGCCCCCTATTAGACCCTTCTTACTCACATCATCAGCTAGACTTCCCCAGATCACGCTTTTTACAATGTTTTTATTTCCCCTTTCCTATAAAAAAGAACGCCATGACTTTCTTTCCCATGTAGACAGACCCCCATATAATATCCCGCCGCAAAAACCCTGCTTTTTGAGAGAACCAAGAAAAACAACATTTTCGTTTCTTTTCCGTCGAAAAGCAGACAAAAGAAGAGGAGGATATCAGTGCACAAGAAACCGAACAAGACCATCATCTATTTTTCAAGATTCTTCTTCTTCTTCTTCTTCTTCTACTCGCCATTCTCCCGGGGCTCCCTCGGTTCCCTTTGTTGATTTCCACCACGACCACCGCCACGACCACCACGCTTCCCTCCCCTTCCGCGACCGCCGCCGCCGCCCTCACGGCCCTCCTTCTTCTCGCCCTCCTCGCCCTCCTTCTTCTCACCGGCCTCGCCGCCAAATCCGACAATGGTGGCTGTGGCAAGACGCTGCGACAGGTCGATCTGGGTGCGGATCGTGTTGGCCAGGTAGCTGACCATGAGGACGTCCTGGATGTGGCTGTTGAAGTCGTTCTCGATCTGGAGGTTGGACACCTTGGGCGCAAGAGACAAGGCGTTCATAAGATACTGCCCGAGGGCGTGGGAGCCGTCACGCTCCTCGTCGAGGACCTCACCGACGAATCCGGAAACACGCTCCAACAGGTCAGAGACAACCTCGAGCGATTGAGCGAGGTTCTCAATATCCGAGACAACAGGGGCGGCGCGAGCTTCGGTGTGGGCGGCCGAGGAGACGGTGCTCAGGGCAGAGCGGTCCGAGTCGGCGATCAACAGCTTGTGAGGAACCTCAATGAAGAGACAGGTATCGGCGGCGCGCTCAGAGACAACCGTCACCGGAGCGGAGACGTACGTCTTTGTGGAGATGGCGCTGCCGGCGTCGGAAGAGATGGTGAGGTGGACGGCGGGGTGGGGGAAGGTGCCGGTCTCTGGGGAGGCGAAGAAGTTTTGGATAAGGGCCGAGAAGGAGTTGAGCTCGTGGGAGGTGGTGTACCAGCCGAGAAGCTGCTCGCGGGGGGCGGCCTTGAGGGTCAAAGCGAGCATGTTCTTTTGGTAATCGACATCGACTTCGACTTGGTCGTCGGTCTCGACGTGGGGGATGGCGAAAGCAGAGCGGACCTCGACCTCGCTTCCATCTTCGCTGCGGGTGCCAACGAGGGCGCCGATTACGCGGTTCGAGTTGGAGCCGTTGATATCGCGGCGGACGGCATGGTCGATGATGGAGAAGACAGACTAGAGATGGCACGGTTAGCCTTCCAGGAATGCGATCGTACAGCATGACACCCAGTCTAGACATCAAGGTGCCATTGGGGGAAGAGTGCTGGTCCGGGAGTAGTAGGTAGGATAGGAGGGGCTGGCATACTTGGGGCTGGATGTTGACGGTAAGCGGGGCACTACCGGCACCGAAGCCCAGGAGGGTGGGCGCAAGCGGCCTGGTGAGGTGGACAAAGTTCTCCTGGTCGACAGCCATGTTGAGTGGTCTCGGGTGGTCTCGGGGTGGTGGTTTGGGAGTGGTGATGGACGATTATCGGGAATGAGTGGACGTTGGACCCCGGGGCAAGGCAAAGGGAAAATTGACGGCCAGCTATGGAGTAGATTATGGGGGGAGGAGACAAGGGAAGTCTGCCTCTGAGCGGGTCGGGGAGGAGATTCGTCACTGGCCAGCAAAAAATGGACCCTTCTCTTTCTTTCAACTCAACTGGCACGAACCTGAGCCTGAGCCTGCGATAGGCTGGGGTCAGACCTCGAATTTTTGGTTTTGCAGCCGATGCGGGACCTGTGTGGTTGTGCGCGCTAAGATAAGCTGATAAGTGGCGGGGCAGTTTTTGGGCAGTTTTCTTTCAACTCTGCAGCACCCGCGAGGCTGCCCATCATTTTTTTTTTTTTTCAGCGGGAGCTCTGCGAACGGCTTTCAGTGGGGCACTTCTAACGACCCTGGTTGGTTTGTCTCTTGGCATGGGGCTTACTGGATTGCCGGCGCGGCAAGGCTGAAAATACAATAAATTTATACAGCTTTTCTGGCAAACTGCCATCGATTGACTTGTTGCAGTCAAATTGCATCACAAACTCATTCACTCAAAGGTCAAAGATGGGACCAAGAGGAGGTGCAGGATTTAGAGGAGGACCTCGGGGAGGCTCGCGTGGAGGCTCACGGGGAGGATCAAGAGGCGGCGCAAGAGAAGGATTTGCATCCCGAGGAAGAGGTGGAACGAGAGGTAGAGGGCGAGGAAGAGCACGCGCACCGACAGAACCACGCAGCGCCAAGTTCGACAGCGCACGACTTGCGAATGATGAGTAAGTCATTCAACTCGTTGAAACAAAAAGGTCCTGACTGACAGAATTCAGCGATTCCCAAAGTGAAGATGAAGGTGTTCCAGAGGACGAGGAGGAGCAGTCTGATGTCATGAGTCTTGTTGATTCGGATTCGGATGAGGAGGAGGATGCCACGTCCGCTCAGCCATATGTAAATCTCATGAAGAGACTCATTGAGACTAACCCGCAAAAGGCAAAGAGGAGAAAGCTTGACCATGCTCCAGCAGAGGACAATCAACCAGAGGCAGCGCCAGCGCCAGAATCTGGCGACGAGGATGAGAGAGACGATGAGCAGGAGGAGCAAAGAGATGTTGACGAAGTTGAAGAGGCTGAGGAGGACACCGCTGATATCCAACCCGAAGATCTCTTTGATGAGGACGATGATCTGGACGAGACCGACCCATTCGAAACTCACATCTCAAACCCCGACGAAAACACAGTACCGCCAAGAGTGCGAGCTGCGCAAAACGGAAAATGGAAGATGCAACGGCAGCCTTTTGAGTCCACCAGGGCCTATTGGAGTTATCCACAGACAGAGGACGGACAGGAGTTGCCATTACCAGCACCAATAACGAGTGTTTCGAATCTGCATCTCAAAAAACGGCTGAAGGAGGTTATGGAATTCAAAAGATCAACCTTTGGCGTTGTTGAGAAGACCGTGGCACCGTTCCTTTTCAACTATCGGGATATGCTGTACTGCGACAGAACAGTTGGATCATCACAGGATCTTCGGAATCTGGCGGCCTTGCATGCTCTCAATCATCTTTACAAGACCCGCGACCGAGTGATCAAGAACAACGCCAGACTCGCCAAAGCCGATGCCAACGAAGACCTCGAGCTTAGGGATCAGGGCTTCACCCGTCCCAAAGTTCTCATGCTACTCCCAACTAGGCAGTCATGCGTCAAGATGGTCGACAGCATTCTTTCTGTTTGCCAACCAGACCAGCAGGAGAACAGGAAGCGTTTTGAAGACGGATATATCGAAAAGCTGTCCAAGTTCTCTGATGACAAGCCAGAAGATTTCCGGGACCTCTTCTCAGGCAACGACGACGACATGTTCCGCCTCGGGATGAAGTTCACCCGCAAGTCTGTCAAGTACTTTTCTCAGTTCTACAACTCGGACATCATCTTTGCTAGTCCTCTGGGTCTCCGTATGGCCATCGGTTCCGAAGAAGAAAGAAAGGTCGACTTTGACTTCCTCTCGTCGATCGAGCTCGTCATTGTCGATCAAGCCGACGCTCTCCTGATGCAGAACTGGGAGCACGTCGAGTTTATCTTCGAGCACCTCAACATCCAACCCAAGGACGCCCACGGCTGCGACTTTAGCCGTGTCCGCAGCTGGTACCTCGACGACCAGGCCAAGTACTTCCGCCAGACTGTCGTATTCTCGGCCTTCAACACCCCCGAGCTGGCCGAGCTCATGCGTGCCCACTGTCACAACTGGGCCGGCAAAGTCCGTCTCCAACAAGAATGCCCCGGCACAATCCAATATCTCCCTGTCAAGGCTCGCCAAACATTCAGCCGCTTCGACGCCCCCACCGTCGCCGCCGACCCAGACGCCCGTTTCAACTACTTCACCAAGGCCATCGTGCCTCTTCTCACCAAGCGCAATGCCAAAGACGCCAACAGCACCCTCATCTTCATCCCTTCCTATCTCGACTTTGTCCGGGTCAGAAACTTCTTCGCCAACAACCCCATCGTGGAGGCTGTCACCTTTGGTACCATATCCGAATACGCGGACATTCCCGAGGCTTCCAGGGCGAGGTCTCATTTCCTGACGGGAAGGCACAAGGTGCTGCTGTACACCGAGCGAGCCCACCACTTTAGACGGTATCAGATCAAGGGTGTCAAGAGGGTGATTATGTACTCGTTACCGGACAACCCGCTTTTCTACCGAGAGATTGCGGGTGGCTACCTCCAGAAGAGCGAGCAGAGCTTGATGGTGGAGCACGGACAGGGAGTGGTCAGGGTGATGTTTAGTAAGTATGACTTGATGAAGCTGGAGAGGATTGTGGGGACTTCGAGGGTAGGAAAGATGATCAAGGAGCAGGGGGACACTTTTGATTTTGTATAGTCTCTTCACCCGGATGCGTATAGAGAAGATTCAATCTTGTTTTTAATCGTTTTTGCTCGTTCTTTATGTTTTTTGCCCCCCACCTTCCGGTGGTTTTCAGCCCTCCCATACCTTTTTGTTCTAGCTGTTTTGTAAAATTACACTTGTGAAGAATTGTTTGCGCGCATTTTTCCCACCACCACCTTCCCACCCCCATATTATACAAAATACACCCATCTTGTCTGATCTACTCCTTCTTGACCGCCTTGTCCTTGAGCTCATTCATGTTCAGCTGCAGCCCGGCAACCTTTTCAACCATCTCCTCAAACTGATCCCTCCCCTCAGGCCTAAACTGCGTGACCTTTTGGATATTCTTAATCGTGATGTCCGTGTGTCCCGTCCCCAATTTCCTGTCTCTTGCCACAGCGGCGGCGGTGATGGCAAATCTCATGTCCTTTGGCCCGTCGACTAGCTCGAGGATGGCGGAGTCGCCCTGGTCGAACTTGTTTTTGGGCATGGTGCGGAGGACGCGGGTGTAGCCGCCGGGGCGGTTGAGGTAGCGCTCGCGGATGGGGCCGAAGAGTTTGGGCATTAGTTCGTCGGGGGTCTATATTTGCTGGTTAGAGGGGGCGGTGGGGAAGGGTAGGAGGGGGAAGGGACGTACAAAGAGGATGCCTTGGGCTTGTCTCCTGCTGGTTTCGTTGTTCTTTTTGGCATAGGTGATGAGCCTCTCGGCGAGGCGCTGGGCTTCTTTGGCTTTGGGCCATGTTGTGTGGATTGACTCCTGGCGGACGAGCTCGGTGACGAGGTTGCGGAGGAGGGCTTGACGGTGGGAGGAGGTGCGGGAGAGGTGGCGGTATTTGACGTGGCCGCCGGCCATTTTGAAGGTTTGTTTTGGGGGGGTAGGTAGGTTAGAGGTGGGGAGGTTGGGTTGGGAAGGCTGGGGTATCAAAGTTGTCGTCGTCGTCGTCAATGGGTGCGCCGGGGTGGTGGGTGGGTTCGGATGCGCCTCGGCGGGATGGGCAACTGGTGTATTGTGTGTCTCTTTGCGCTCCGGTACGGTACCTATGAATTTTTGATCTTATCAGCGCCGGCCGTCTCTTTTGCCGGCCGGGAGCGCAAAAGCCACAAGTGGGGGCCAACGGTGTCGGGATGAGTGCCAAGCCCGGGTGCCCCTTGGGTCCCCTGTTGCTGTTGTTCACAAGCCCATCTCTCTACGTCACTTCGTGGACTTGTTGCTTCCAACGGTTATCTGAACAACATGCGCTTCAGTTGGGGAAGGGTCAATTAACTGCAGCTTTTCCATTCCTTCCTGCCTTTGAGCATCGCATAACCTCCGACCGCCGGGTCACCGCGTTGCGCCTTTGCGCGCTCCTCCCCTAATCGCGCACCTTCAGGGTTCATACCATCATCACCACCACCGACAGACACCAAAATGGGCTTCATAGCCGGCTTCGCATGTTCCCCCTTTCCCCCTTCCCCCTTTTTACCCTTCCCATTCATTTCTAACCAGTCACACAACAAACAGACCGGAGGCCTAACCCTCACCCTCTCCCTAACCTACCTAGCCCTCCACACCCACCGCCGCAACCGCGAAGTCCAATCCACCCTCCTCCGCTCCCAATCCCACACCCTCGACACCCTCAACCCCCTGTCTTCTTCCACCCTCCCCCCCCGCAAATCATCCTACATCACCACCGACGGCACACACACCTACATCCCCCGCCAAACCCTCGCCTCCACCACCACCTCCTTCCTAGAAGAAGCAAAGTCCCGCTGGAACTCAGAGGTCATCGCCGCAGTAAACTGGGCCCAGTCCCACTCCCCCGCTATCGAATCAACCGCCTCCTCCGCCGTCGTCGACCTGGCGCATAATGCCCCCGCCATCAAGGAGCGAGTAGCAGACGCAAGCAGAGAAGGATGGCAGACGGCTGAGAAGGGACTTTTTAGAGCAGAAAAAAAGATTGGGGAGGTTGTTGAGAGGACGGTGGAGAAGGGGAAGGAGGTTTATGGAAAGGCAAAGGCAAAGGTTTACTTGGCGGAGGAGAAACTGGAGGGGAAGCTTGAGGCTAAGTTGGAGGGTGTGAGTGAGATTGAGAGGGCGCTGGCGGAGAGGTTTGACCAGGCGAAGAGGGAGAGGCGGTTGGAGAGGAGTGTGGAGGAGGTTTTGGCGGAGAGGTATAAGCCGATTGATGAGAGGGATTTTGGGGGGTTGGCGCTGATCTGAGGGGAGGTTGATAAGGGGAGAGGGAATGGAAGGGGAGTGGAATGGGGAGTGGAATGGGGAGTGATACCACTGTGTTTAGTATTTGTATAGGTATGGATATGATAGAGAAAAGGGGCGATGTTGTTCCTTCGAAGTGGAGATGTTTGGATTCATCTTGTTTGGTGGTTTTGTTGTGGGTAAAGGCTTGTAAGAGAGGGTGTGGCCGGTGATATCTATAGATTCATGATTACAAGAGTCACAGGGGCAAGAGATTTCTAAAAGAGTGATTTGTCACATATCTTGAAGCAACACCATGATGCCACTCCCAATATAAGATCTCAGCTTCAACTATCCACTATCCGGGCTTGCAGTGCTTGTAGATGATACATAGTCTGAGCTTGACAGTTCGCATATCCGATATTTGATTTTAGTATCCAAGACTTTGTTTGGGCTCGGATCAATGGCAACCATGCTTGACGGCCCTTGGATGATTTATTCCCTGTAAATTGATCAAGTGGTGTAGACAGCCCAGCAACTACTTTACATCCCTCTCTCATACACCGCCCTTCATGTTACATACCCTCACGGGTGGCAAAACAAAATGTCCCCAACTCCACGCTAGAAAATCACAATCCTGTCCCTTGGAACGGCGCTTTTCCCTCCTACACCCCGCTCCCCGTCACCACCCCATAATAATAAACCCCCCCGTCTCCAACGCCCGCCTGAACGCATC